AAAGTGTTTTTATTGAAAAATTTGTTGTTGAGAGTGCTTAACAGCTATTTTTAATGTTCCAAAGTCAATTTTTCGTATTACATATTATTTACTTATTGTTCAATATATAATAGAACAGATTGTAAAGTAAATAAATAATAATAAAAAAAAAAATTAAATGTTATGAAATTTAAAACAAAAGTTTTGAATAAATTTTCAACATATGTTTTGAAATAAAAACAAAACAGAAGTTTTCTAACTAATCTTGCATCGTTGATTATTTAGTCAATGGGGCTATTTCATGTTAAACATTCCTTCAGCACGCAGCACAACAATAACCTACTAATGTGAAGAAATGTAATCAAAGTAAAATAATTTTGTAAACTTCGTGAACATATGTTTAAAAAAACCAAAGCTTAAATATTTCAGCCATTCTACTTCCATTTACTTTGATTTTAACCATCTCCCACGATTCTACTAAATTTCATGCGCTTGGCTAATTTACATACAAATACACAAATTTGCAAATTGCACAGTAAAATTAATTTCAACATTCTAAGACATAACGACAAAAGTCTCAATTGTATGTAACGTCATCCCTGGTTTTATATAGTATACAGTACATTGCAGAATTTACTGGCAAACGAGTTAAATCCAAATGTAATATTGCTTACTGGCTTAATGATAAATCACGATCAGCTGTATTGAGGTAAACAAAAATCAACAGACAAATGGCTTCTAATGCTATTCTTATGGAGAACATTTTACGTTATATCATTGACTAAGTCAAAGGTTATGTCTAATTTTGTGTTAAAATTTGGGGAATTTCACTATTTTTCCGGGATCGAGACCTTTAATTTGAACCCTCTCCCGTCGTTCTACGACTACCCAGTCGCCCACAATTTTGACGCAAAGAATCGGCTTTCGTAATTAATATATAGATAGATATTTAATTTCCACAAAATCAGTTAATGTAACCAATGCGTTTCGTTGAATTGAAAAACAAAGAACACAATTAAATTAAACAGCTGATGTAAACAATATTATGTTCTTCGTAAGGACAACATGGGAACTTAATAAAAAGCCACTGTGGCAGAGGCCAAGGGACTTTTTCAAAAATTTTAGGCCAGTTTGCAAATCTACGCAACACGCTCTTTCCAATGAGACGTCAGTGGATAAAATCGGTTTAGAAATGGTGGAGGATTCAACCGACAAACTTCGTGTTCGCGTATTAATTATATAGATTTCATATGTGCATGAAATGTTGGTGTGAAACCAACTTGTCTATATATATAATTCCGTAAGTCAAATTTTTGTAAAGAAATTGTGAGTGACTGGATGGCCGTAGAAGGATGGGAGGGGTCTTATTTTAAAGGTCTTGACGTGAATTTTGAGGGAAAACTATTCATTTTTCTTATTTTTTTTACCATAAATTCGCAACAGAATAAAACTTTTCCCATTAAAACAACATGGGGTTTAATTTGTTTACATCTTTTGAAATTAAAACAGCTGTGCCACAGATTTGAAAACAGTGATCAATACACACATTTGGTTTACTTTTAGCCAGTCAACTATGAAATGTATACTATAATAAAACTGAAATATTGAAGATTAGTCGGAAAAACGTCTGCATTCTTTGTTTATATTTAAATCATATACTCAAGTTTCATTTTTTCATGCTTTTACGTTATTGTCGTGTTAAAGGAATAAACGACATAGAATAAATATTCTGTATAAATAATCAAAGAGTCGAAATTAAATCTAACTTCTGTTTTGTTTTTATTTTTAAATCATATGTTCAAGTTTATTTTAAATGATGTTGTTTTCTTTATATGTCTACACATTTTAAGGTTAAGGTTGTGTAAATATATACAACTAAAATAACCTATAAATGTTATTGGTTCTAAAATGGTGTATTTGCATTCCTTCGTAAGTAAATTTTTTTAGTGCAGTGAATATACAACGTAGAGTAATCTAATCATATTCGATCATACTTTTATAAAATCACCAGGGATTCAAGATGTTTTGGTATGTAGGCTGCTGGATATATATTCTTTTCATTATAAGTACTGTAATTAATATGAACGCCAGGGGAATACCACAAAGGCGGGGAACTGTTCATAGGAATGACAGTGCGCGTAGGAGAGCAAGAGTAGATAATGACGAACTTAATCAAGATATGTTACAACCCCTTTTTAGGAGACCCATGGTAGACGAGAGAAATGTAAAGATCCATGATGCAGGATTACTGGACCAAGAGTGCATTCAATGTAGTGCTCTTCATTTTAGAGAAGAACTAACGAATAATCATTTTCTGACATGTTGCCATAACGGACTTATTAACCTTCCTCAGTCAAAAACTAATGTAGAACTTAAAAGTTTGTTTGAAGAGAGCCCACAACTGTATAAATTCATTCGACAATGCAACAGTGCGATGGTTTTTGCTTATTTTTCAGCCAGTAAGAAAGATATTCCAGGAAAAGGACCATACTGTTTCAAAATTCAAGGACAGATTTATCGTTCAATCTCAGATTTGCTGCCTCGACATGATGAAGACCCCGTGTATGGCCAATTGTACATTATTGACACATCAACAGCAACAGAAATAATTCGTCAAAGGCGTCGAGAAAATAGTGACTTAAAACCTGAAATATTGTCAAAACTAGCTGAAATTCTATTAGAAAATCCATTTGCACAAATTTACAAAAGAGCTTCGGAAGAAATGGTTGTACAAGGTGACAGTGAATTAGAACTTAGGTTTGTAGACAGGATAAATATGGATCGTCGTAGGTATAATAAGCCTACTGCAGATGAAATTGCAGGCGTCTTCAATTCATCTGAAGGCGAACCTCCAATGATTTTTTAAAATTCCAAACAGGGAAGCTTTTATTTATCCTCATTAACCACAAGACCAAAGCTACCTTAGTAAACCAGTATTCATTCACAAACAATGATATGTTTGCTGCATTTTCATGTGAAACCACTGGATTGATTCAAATTATTTATTGAAAATGACATCAACAAAAGCAAACAAAGAAGAACAACAAACTGGTTTTTACACAAAAGATATGGTGTAGGGATGCCTATTCTGACACATAGATAATGTTATTCTGAGTTTGTTTAAATACCGGTATTGCAAAAAGTTGTTTTACATTTGAGCTTTTTAGGGACTTATGTCCCTACAAGCCACTAGTATAACTTTAAGCTAAATGGTTTAAGTTACCTGGCTTAGTCAAGTGATCCTTCTTCAGTATTACACTACTATAGTTTCGGACTTGAAAATAAGTCCATCTTCAGAAAACGTCAATAGGTCATCTAACCAAATTGGTTAGATTACCTATTGACGTTTTTGTTAACCTGAAGATGGACTTCCAGAGGCTACCTCACCATGTATACCTTTGAAGTAGAGGCTATATTTATTCCCAAAAGGTATCAAACGCCAGCTCCTGATCAAATCTTTTCTATCCCTTTAAAGTTTGTTTCGTGTTTTAGTCTTCACGTACAGAGACTTAAATCTTTGTATTAAATTGTTAGCAATCATAAATCGTGGACAGAATCTTCCACAAAAGATAAATACAATATAGTTTAACACCCTAGAACTCCTTAAAAAAATATATTTTGTTAAGGCTTCGTCATAATGTTAAAAATACTCAATACAACAAATTCATTAATTTTACATATGTAAACGTTGATAGTTGTATGCGTATTGTATTTTAATATATCTTCTGTATACATCTAGTCCTCTATATTTTCTGTGAACACAAATGCTTCTGTATACACTTTTTTTGCAACTCACAGTAACTGAGAAATATTCTAAACTGGTGAACTGTTTTTATAAATTTTTGCCATTATTCCTCAACCCGTGCTTAGAAAAATAGTGACTCGTGGATGAATCCAGATACAAAATTTAATCTAAATCGGACCACAGGTTTTGTCTGTAGCTCTGTATCTGGATCATACAAGTGTGTATTATATAACATGATCAAATCACATAGTCAAAATATGTTTTATTCTATAACTTTTAATTTAATTAAACATAAAAGTCATGCTCCCTCCATTTTTAAAGTATTCAGTCCAAAAATGTAATAAATTTACTTGTGCATACATATTTATTTCGTTTTAATAAATAATTGAGGTGATGCAATACACTTATGTAGGCAGTCGCAGCAGTCGAAGCCGGGCATAGCGCCTAGAGTTTCACGAACGCAAACCGCGCAACGAGTAGCTAAATGAGCCGTAGAGTAAGTGAGCCATCTAATATTTTGAAGAGGGTTCACTTACTCTACGGATCATTGTGCCAATGATCTGTAGTGTAAGTGAGCCATCTAATATTTTTCTGCAGGCTCGTATAGTATACGAGCCTATTCCTATAATTTATATTATTCATTATTTTGGCTCGTATACTATACGAGCCGATTCCTGAATTATCAAATAATTCGTAAGCTTGGCTCATAGTCACTATGATCTGTAGAGTAAGCGAACCTTCCTACTGTATTTTTAAATATAATACACGAGGCTCATAGGCACAATGATCTGTAGAGTAAGTGAACCCTCTTCATTTATTTGATATTTTTGATCGGCTCGTATAGTATACGAGCCTGTAGTGCAAGTGAACCTTCAATATTATTTAAAAAGCTCGTATAGTCTATGATCTGTAGAGTAAGTGAGCTGTCCCCAATAGGTATTCTACACATATTCATTAGGTATCCTCAATCTAGGTATCATATAGGTATCCATAATAGGTATCAAGTAGGTCAACGAGACTTTTGTGCTATATGGGATGTGGCTACACATCATTACACTATGAATACAACCACATCTGGTGAACTTTTGCAGCTTAACACTAGTATTATTAAAAGGTAACTTATTCAACAAAAAAATATAAATCACTGATCACAGAATCAAATCTCACTTTAATATGAGTAACATTATTACAGATATTTAAACTTGAAAACGTGATACAATAAAATGATACAATAAATTACAGTTAGGAACATTAGAATAAGTGTTTAGGATTAAATCTACAGAGCATTCCTCGATGCCGTTGGGTTCTGACTGTACTTGTCATAGGCCGTCTTCAACATCTGTAGGACTGGCCCCATGTACTCAACCGATCTGAAAAGTACAGAATATTCAAGTTTTAATTAGGCTAATACAGTTTTAACTTTGTAATGGTAGTAACACCACAAATGAAGAGATGAACATATACAACTTTTCTCGCGTGCAGATATAAAATTAAAATAAGAGTAAGCTACGGTATTGTTTCAACAATCCTAAAAAATCTTCTATAATAAAAATACGTAAATGAGTAAAGATCAAGTTTGGTAAGCATTACAAAAATTAGGATAACTTAAATTTGAATGGTTTAACATTTTTCCTAGATTGCCTCAACATTTAGTTGTAAAAACAGCAACTTGTCTAAACCTCTTTTACGCCAGCGTTTTTTACGTGCGCATGTTTTAAACAAAAGTCTATTAACATCTAAAGAACGAAGAACGCCACTTTTTTAACAATTTGGATATTAACTTCTATTTTTCAGTGTTTTTCAAAAGAAATTTTGTTTTCTATCGTATTGTATTTACAACACGTTCTTACACTGCATTTAGACCGAGAGTTCACAGCAAGTGGTTTTAACAACTTGTGTTGACATAGGAAACACTCGTTTTGGCTGTTATTTGAAATAAATTGCGTAAACACATGCTTCAACAATCTTTTATTCGATCTTCACTGACTTCTTGTGTAACACATTTTTAGTATGATTAGTATTTTTTTGTCCTAAGATTTTTTTTATCACTTAGATAAAATCCATTGGTGACTAGGTGGGGATCGAATCCGGGACCTCAGGTACTGAAGTCCTGCGCTCTAACCACTACACCAGCTCGCTCCGGGAACGGGACGATTGGCACACATTTTTGGATCTTCTGCCCATGGCAGTATTGGCACAATCATTTGAGCGGAATAAGTAGGGTCAACTCGCCTGCTTGGAAAAGGCACGATTGGCACAATCGCTCGACCAGGTAAACGCCATCGAACGAGGGAAAACGGGAGGTTTAAAATTCCCCGTCAACTCTGCTACGACAGTCATTTGCCGGTAATACCGCGTATTTCCAATGGTTAGGTTATGTTAGCTTAGGTTAGGTTAGGTTAGGTTAAGTTAGGTTAGGTTAGGTTAGGTTAGGTTAAGTTAGGTTAGTTAAGTTAAGTTAGGCTAGGTTTAGTTAAGTTAGGTTGGGTTAGTGTAGTTTTATTAGGGTCCAGCAGGGGCAGTGACCGTAGCAGCAGATTTGTCGCTCAAACTTACACCATGGATGAAGTAATTGCTAACTCTAATAATCATTACAGCGGGGACTTTGTGGGGACAAAACAATTTCCATTCTGGCTAACTGCCTACTACTTCCTTGCCGGTCTGTTGTGCCAATCGTGCCTTTCCGAACCTTCCAGTTTGACCCTTCTTAATCCCCTCTAATGATTGTGCCAGTCGTGTTATTCCAAATCGGCTAAAAATGTGTGCCAATCGTTCTACGGCCCTCGCTCCCCAGTATGATTAGTATAAGGTCATTCAAGTCACAAAACTTGTTACACTGAATAGATAAAACATTGTAGTCAATTACATCTTATAGTCCACTGTCAAATGTACACCCGTGTGCTCCTTGATGAGGCAGGTGTGGGAGTAGTCTTAATCTCTTTGTTCGACCTTGGAGAAATACAATTTCGATGGTGGCACTCTTGAAAATGGTGCGTTTGAACGCTGTGGGTAAAAAACAAAATGGCCGCCATTTAAATGTTTAAAGTCAAATTCCATGAAAACCAGCTATTAAAACAAAATTTTGCAACACATTATTTAAAGTTCTTTTCATTACAAATACAATGACACTTTATTTGCGAAAATCGGATAATAAATAAAAAGGTTATGTCACTTTTATTATTAATAGTAATTATCAAAATGGCAGTCATTTTGAAATCAGAAAGTTAAATTCCATAGAAGATAGTGACAAAAACATAATAAAAGTTACATAACTTTTTTATTTATTATCCGATTTTCGCAAATAAAGTGTCGTTCGATTTGTAATAAAAAGGACTTTACATACTGTCAAAGTTTTGTTTTAATTGCTAGTTTTCATGGAATTTGACTTTAAAAAATTTTAATGGCCGCCATTTTGAAATTCGATGAGCCTGATCAAAGATTTTTTTGGAGAATGTTTATAGTTGTAGACTTAAAGTTTATACCAAGTTTCATTAAAATATCTCCAAGAGCTTTTGAGTTATAAATGATTTAAAAAAAATACAAAATGGCGGATTACGGCTAAACTAAGCCGAAACCAAAAAAATTTTATACAACATTTTTTACTTATTTTTGCACATAGAATCTGAATCTGCATAGCCCGTTAAGATTTTCTGAAACATCCTTTATTACTTTTTTGAAATATTTAACTGTCCTGGGACATTACATCCACCCTGATTAATTTATTTATGAAAAATATAAAATTATGTTTTATGAAAGAATGGTGTATCCTACATAACAACTTTAACAATCTTTTTTGTGCAGATTTGAAATAGCTACATTTTGGTATCACCAATTCATTCATAACTCTAACGGTTACTGATCTAAGTAAGAAAAGAAGTTTGCGACGGCGGCCATTTTGTTTTTTACCCACAGCGTTCAAACGCACCATTTTCAAGAGTGCCACCATCGAAATTGTATTTCTCCAAGGTCAAACGAAGAGATTAAGACTACTCCCACACCTGCCTCATTAAGGAGCACACGGGAGCCTGTATATGTACATTTGACAGGGGACTATTACTTACTGGGGCCCATTTCATAATAAAGTACAAACTAATATTATTAGTAAATCAGCTAATCAGCTGATCGCCCAATGCAAATCTAATGGTAATTACAAGTTACAAGTAGTAACTTGTAACTAGTAGTTTATTATGAAATGGGCCCCAGGAGGTCATAGTTAATTTTATCAACAAATGTATTTATATGATGTATGCTAAACTACTGTAGCTTCGTAGATGATCCAGCATATTTGTATCGGTTCACTGTATTAAAATCAAAATATTGCAACTCTCAACTTAGGATGGATGACATGTAAATGACATGAACTGTGGTGTAGCCTAATAACGCAGGTTGTCACTACGGACTGACCTCTTCTGGTAAGTGTTGGGAGTGGGGTAAGAAGCCTGGGGATACTGGCCGTACACATCATTCTGGTACAGGTTGCTGGAGTAGCCAGAGGCGGCGCCCGCGTAGGTGTCACAGTTTCCCAACACCTGGCACAGTCGCAGGTTGAACATCGGCATGATCAGTGCTGCTATTGCTGCCAACACGACAACACCCAGCACCACAGTACCTCCGCTGGAGATGATCTGCATCAGGTTGTGCGGGATTCCGTACTCATCTGGAAAACAAAAATGTAAAACAGTCGCTGTTGAACCATTTGTTTTTGGAAAAGATATGGGAATTTTCAAAGATGATCCCAGAGTGTTCTACAACTTTAGTTATCTTCAGGATTGCGATAGAGTTCGGTTAGCTTACCTGAGAAACTTATGTTCAGGTGCTTAACGATAGACCCCTACGCAAGTAAAACATTTAAAAATCTCACTGATAATTCACTACGCGGGTCCGGATGGCAGGACAAGATCATACTTACAGAGGGGTATTACGGCTGCTGGTAGGGAACGAAAGAAGTCCTGCACTAAAACAAAATATCTGAGCTATGTTACGTAACCAATAGCAAAGATATTTCATTGGAGCCCAAAACCAATGACCCTCTAAATTCCACCCCAGCTCTATTACCGCTCAGCCATCCAGCTATGAAGTCAAACGAAAGAAAGATTTAATGAAATATGCAGTAATCCAAATGAAATAGTCTTTCTCCCATTTGATCACAAAAATGAACAATAAAATTTCAGATTGAACTCAAATTCATATGAGCGTACTAAGGATTTTTTACCCAGAGAGTTCTTGCCTACTTACTGGTCGCAGGAGAAGTAGTTGTGGTGGCAACTTGTGTTTTATCAACCTTATCAGCGGCCGCAGTTGTAGCAGAGTCTGCAGCCTTTTCTGCGGCCAGCAGGGTCGCCAACATCAGGACAAACAAGGGGAAGACAACGGCGAGCTTGGTAGACATCTTGGTAGACGATGGTCTGGAGACATGAAAAGAAATTAGTAATGACTTATCCTCTACCACCCAGAAGCACCTAGCATCCGTCAAAAATGATTGATTAGCTTTAAACCCTTAAATTTTGTATGCAAAATATAAAAAATTTCACAAAACTTAACAACTAAAACCCAATCTTTGGTCTACTTGCTCAACCATATCCACTAACCTTTAAACTCTAGTATTAAATTCCATTTTGTAGCCATTGAACTGCTTAGTATAGACTAAACTAAAACATACATCGTCTTGCACTTCAAATACTGTAGTGTGTTTTAATACACTACATTCTTATGTTTCGCCATATTTTGAATTTTCAAGTATACAGAAACATTATAATATCCTAAGTGGACTCGTCAAGTAGTTTGGTAGTCTATCTCTGTCAGTGCCATGATCAGGTGTTGTAGGCCTACATGTAAATAATTTTGTTCGTACGTGTTAAAATGTGTACATTTATGTTTTAATGTAAAATTCTACGACTTAACAAGTCCAATTTGGATATTAAAATGTTTCAAATATACCACTTGAAAATGCCAAATATGGCAAAACAAATGTAGTGGAATAAAACACACTATTTGAACTGCAAAACTAGGTATGTTTTAGTTTGGTCTAATTAAAAGTAATTAGAGTGAGACCAAACTGCAGTCAGTTTATTGAAGAAGTTTGCTGAGAGTATGAGTGGTGGGGAGAGGGAGTCTTAGACTTGGACAACAACAATAACAAGTTTAGTTCCAACTCAACTTGACTCATATAACTTTGTTTATTAGCACATATAATACCGGTGTGAGACTTCACCACTGTCAAGCACCTACTAACTCTGGTTAACGTTGGCGACTAACACTTACACGTACCAGATTACCATGAGTAACAGGCTATGAAACTTTGTACAGTGCTGCTTATCCTCACATAGTCGAGGTGTTCTGTGATAAACTATGTTGCACTTAGCCACTTGTGAATTGAGGTTACGTGTGCGATTCTTATGAGTGGTGCACATTATTTTAAATATGGTTTAGATTCACATTTCGGCTTTTTAAATGCAACCCAAATTACAATTACCGCAAGACACTTTTTAACGACAAAACAAACTCAGTTGGCATCCCTGTTTTTTATCTTCTTTGCCAATCAGTTGATATACATTGTTGCATACTATGAGGTTTACAGTTATCGGGAATATATTTGAATAAGAATCAAAATGTTGTTTCCACAAGCCCAAAAAGTATTGTACATTAAATGTAAATCATAGGGTTTATGCCAAGAATGGTTTGAAACTAAGTTTAAAGATGTGACTCCAGTTAAGGTACCTAAAAATCAACTATTCAAAGAATTTTCAACATTTAAGCAAATTGGATCAACAGAAAAAAACGCCTACAACACATACTCTATTTGAGCTCGCAAGAAAACCATGTTTGAGCCTTATTTTCAATAAATTATGAATGACACTAAACCTCATAGCTATCTATGCAACAATGCATAAACAGCAGATTGGCAATGGAGTAAAGAAAACAGTAATACCAACAAAATGAGCTGGTTTTGTCGTCGATTAGTGTCTCACTGTAGAACACCCTGAACAAGCAAAGGATCTAATGTGCCAAGAAGGTAAGGTTAAGACCAACCATGAACGAGATAACCACTGCATTGTTACTAATTAAGAACAGCTGGTTCTTAGCTAGAACTATTTATTAAAAGCTCAATGATCAAGGACAAACACACAGACCTTCTAGAAACTATCTTGTTTGTACTTCTTTGGATTTAGAATTAAAAACTTCACCTGTTAGTATGTTTTGTAAGAAATCTCTTCAATAGTTTCTTACTTTACTTAATTTTGGAAATATGTGTCTCTTCAATTTGACGACTTTAGCATATAATCCATGATACAAATTCTAGGGTTGGCAATTGTTGAAACTAGTGTTTAGGGTATACTGTTCTTTCTTAAATGTATTGTTTTAAAATATTTGTATTAGTCCTGGCTATTTATTTTTATTTGTGATCAAAACTTGACATGGTTTAGGTTTCTAGATGGAAATTGTGTGCTGGAAAAGCCGTAATGAGTTTAAATAAGTTCCTTCTCCTAATACCAAAATGGAAAATAATATTTACATACAATTTTGAAACACAAAAGTAAGGCTATTAATTAAAAAGAAAAATGACACACCAGTGAAGTTAATTAACTCATTGCACAAGCTGAAGAGAATAATGACGTAAGTTTCTTGACATTAAGTGCGTACTGCAGCCTAAAATTGATGAGTTATCTAACATAATGTATTAATTTTATTTGTTTTAAAACAACTTTTTTGCTTAAATCAGTCAACTTTGGTAACAATCATTTGTACTTCAAAGTTTTGACAAGAAAACAAGAGTGTGGAAAATTTCCGTAGAACTCTGAATCACTTGGACTTTTCACTCAGTAAATTACAATTTGTCTTGTCATGCAGATGCGCTGTGAATGTGTGTTTCTAATGTAAATGTCATGTAACTCGTACAGAGAGAGTGGGCCGGATATGGATATAGATAGGCTACATACACAAACACACATTTTGGTGAATGTACTTAGGTTAATGGGACAATATTTATCATACTACAAGACATTTATTTTTTCAATAGGTGCTGTTATTGCGGATATACTGTTTTGTAAAAGTTTTAATTTATTGAATTACGATACAAAAACAACATCTAATGTGTTTAATATTTAATATTCAATATTTACTTTTATTTATTTTTATTTAATATAACTTTTATTTTTATTTAATATTTATTTATTTTAATATTTACATTTCTTGTAGTGTAGATTTTGTTTAAAAACCTATGTTTAATACAGAGTTTTTAATCCATTTCAAGTATAATTATTTTAAATGTACACACTCCGCAAAGAAACTTGGAAGGAAAGTATAATGTAACAAAATAAATTAAACACCCAATATGTTTTCCTGTTTGTAGTGTAGATAACATCTATACAATTAGTTTGTATGTGTCATTATATTGTTGCCAAAAAAACATTACTATTACTACTGATTAGGTTGTTCAATTGAATTATTATTATTGTCACTCTATATCTGTTACGGTGACAATGTATGGTTACTGTCTCGTAAAGTATTTTTTTTAAACAAATCTCCTATTTTAAGAGTTGTATAATTTATCCGTATAGGAAATGCAGATCAAAATTCATTCACTCCGTGATATCATGTTCACTAGTTCAATCTTTGTCAAATTACTTGAGCTTTCTTATACTATTTAAAAATAAAACGTAAACATCACTATTTAATATTGATGACCGTATTATAACTATTCATATAGCTAATAATAAAATTACTACGTATTTTTGGCGTAAAGTCAAACCCGCTAAAGGTAAATATCCCCTCGTCTTGCAAGGTAAGAAGCAAGAACCAATTTTGTGGTAACATCATAACACAAGAGTGTGCGTGGTTTGTTTACAGACAAGATTCACTTTCTTCATTCGCATAACAGAAGCCCGTGAGACAGTTACCGAAGATGGTCTACAGATGGAAATGACGTCATCGACGCGTGACACGTGACAAACCGTGACGTATGACAATGACCAAGTGACGGTCTGTAGATCACGATGTAAACATTGATGGTTGTCGAGATTCACGTTCAATGTCTAGTAAGAATAGTTTACCAACAATACGTTTCAAAATGAGAGTTTAGCTCCGTGTTTAGACATTTAAATTAATAATACATGTGAATTCACGTAAGTTTTAAACTTATAAATCACCTGATGATCGTTCAATTTTTCAATAAAATTTATAAATGCTACTGCATTTAACAAATTAATATTGTTTTAAATTTAAATAGAAATCAGCTGTTTCATTGTTATTACGTTTCTATAGCTGATGTATTTTAGACTGACACTACCCATGAGAATTGTATTAAAAAAACCATGCATTTATTTATTGATTTAAGCTACATAAATCAGTGTAACTATATAGAGGAACTATGTAATCATGACTCAACGTAAAGCAAATACAGATTACAGACTATTGCTCATTAATTGATTTTACACGATTGTACGAGTAACTATTGAACAACATAGTTTGTTTCAACTCGTGTTGAAGAAAAACCATTTATATACGTCAAACCCAAACATCAGGTGTTTAATCTTCTTCTGATGAAACAGTCACACCAAAATGAAGTCACACCAAAATGATTGCCAAAAACGCCATCAGAGTGCCATAAAAGTGTGACCTCGGTTTTAAATCTTACAATGCAGATCTTAAAAATAATTTACCATATCGATAAGGTTGTTCATAAGGCAAACAAATCATGATCCTTGTTTTTTAAATAATTCATAAGTTCCAAAATCTTACTAATATTATAAATCTGAAAATTTGTGAGTTTGTGATTTTGTGAGTTTATCTGTTTGTGTGTTGTTCAATCACGCAATAACTACAGGACGGATTGGGCTGAAATTTGGAATGATAATAGCTAACATTCCCGATTTACATATAGACGTATTCTTATCTCAAAATTCCTTTCGGACTCCGCCCCAGTGGCTATGCAGTTCCCCATGTTAACCTTAAGAGTATTGATATTAAAAGGAATTAAAGAATTTAGTCAGCTGTTTCAACTTTACAAGTTGGTTCTATAATATGCAAAAGCATTAAACAGTTATAAGATTTCCCAACAGGGTGCAGCACTATTATTATTTTGTTTTTGCATATATGACAACAGCTAATTTGAACTAAGCAGCAACAAAAAGTTGTGATACTCAATGAGAACTGTCAAAGTAGGATTTGTTCATAGTTATGTTCATGTTTTTAATTTCATCAATAATTTGTTATATTGTGTGACTGTTTGATAATTATTTTTTTCTATTGATTATGTGTAGTGGTAGAACATTATGACTATGGTAGATGTGTTATACTATATCATACCGTCAATTTAAAGAAGGAAATCTTATCAAACTGTGTCCTCCCCCCATTGCAAACGCAAAGCTTGAGAGTATAACTACAATAATCATTTTATACTTATACGCCAACCCCGTACGAAGGACGGGTACTCTGCTAGTAACGATATATTTTCAAAAGGAGGCATAAAGGCTGTACTCTTTCTATTAAGATCTAAATTGACTTGTTCAACTTATTCAATTATGTTTCAATGCTGATACATAAACACAATTAACACAATTAACTCCCAGAAAACATACATTGCCTGGCTCATGTGAGAAAAGAGTTGAAACGATGGGAGAAAACAAAGAGTATTGTAAGTATTAACAAAAGAAAAACGGCGTAATCTAAAAAGTCTGACAATGAAACAAATGAAAATGAGACAAAGGCTTACCTTTGGAACGGAGGTTTGGATGATTGGCCTGGAGCTAGTGTAGACAGGGGAAGCTAGCTGGCTTTTATACCCCTGCTTTTTGCCAACCCCTGATGAAACTGATTACAACGGGGGTAAAAAGCCACATTCCTTGCTAACACAGTTCATCACAGAATCCAACCCTGGGGCAAAAACTGTGTCATTGGGCTGAGTAGGGGGGTCTTGCCAAAGTGATGTTTTATAGACGACTTATTGTGAAGGCTAAAAAAAATTGTACTTGTAAAAATTAAAATAAGCATCTTACCTTATTATTGACTTATAATAAATAAAAACTCTATTAAATTTCAAAACAAAAAAATATTGACATGAAAAGTATTTCATTCGCAATCTAACGTACCATAAGAAAGGGGTTTGTTTTAAATGGTGATCTCAACCATTGGTTTGTTTCGATGGTAATGGAGAAATAAATGATTTAAATATTTTCTTACCTTGCCTAGAGCTTCAATTAAAGCTTTCCTTGTGCAATATACATTGTTTGTCAAAGTTTGCTATCCAATAAATCTACTCAAAAGTCTAGATTTATTGATT